GTGTGTGTGTGTGTGTGTGTGTGTGTGTGTGTGTGTGTGTGTGTGTGTGTGTGTGTGTGTGTGGTAAAACTCACCTGTCCAGGTGAAAAGCAGCAATCTCAGCGTTGTGTCTTTCAAAGTCTGAGAAGTAGAAGAAGTCTGGAGGAGTCTCCTGTTCCCGGGTCTGTCTGAAAAACAAAATTCAGGACAACATTAACTTAATTTTTTTAAATGTACATTTAAACATCKAAGAGTTTTCTCCTTAATTCATAATTCCTAAATGAAAAAAAGCTTTTTGATTTGAACCACTTTCACCCCACTGAGGGAGACTTCTCACCACCTCATCATCAGTTTTGTGTTTCCCACCAGGTGAAACTCCATCCCAGCAGCAGCTGAAGAATGAGACCAAAGCCTRCATGAACAAGTCTGTTGAAAGGAAGCTGGCTGGGATACTTCTTCACAAACACACACACAGACACACACACAATAAAAACCTCTCACACACACATTCAGGGAGACGTGGCTGTCTGCCAGCCAAGCCATGGATCTGAGTCAGAAAACGCTGGGAGCTTCTTTGTGTCTGCCTCTCTCTGTGTCTCCGTCCTCAGATCACTTGTCAGACAGCAGGTTTGCTTTTGATTTCTCTTTCTCGCACCTGTACACACACACCTGCACCGTTAAAGCTGCGCTTGCACAAACCCAGCCAGAGAAGTGCTCATCCTGTCTTGTCATTGTCTTGATCTTTCAGCGGCTCCTCCTCTTCATTAGTGTGGGTTTGTGGGTTTTTACCTGCCTCTTCACTCTTTCTGTCCCTGGAAAAGCAGTGACAACAACAAAAAAATGTCCAGTCCTCCTATTACTTTTCTTGTCAGGGAAGCAGCCATTTACCCATAAATCAATAGCTGCCATTGTGATTCTTTCCGTGCCACCCAGAGCCGAGAGGGGACTGATGGTGTTTGTATTTTCAGGGCTGGAGGATAAAACACGCAGGAAGCTGACTAAACAGCAGCAGAGGCCCTTCCTTTTCAATTTAAAGAGGTCACCTTAAGAACCGTGGCACGTAAAGACCCGCCTTCTCATCTTTTTCCACAATCATGCATCTCCTACGGAGCTTTTTGAAAATTTGTATGACATTTCTTTCCCTAGTTTCACTTCTTTTTTTCTTTTCTTCCCCTGTGCAAAAATTTGCACTGCAGGTTTTGGTTGCCATGGCCACCGAGATGTAAGATGCAATTTCCTGTCGAGGAAAGTGCTGTTGAATCTTGAATGGAGGCAAAGTCAGGATGTGAAAACCTATTGCAAAACAACAGATATACCACCCCTCCACACACACATATTCATACTCGCTATGCAAAATCACAACCATATTTTCCCCCACAGTAATGCTCCCATTCAGCCTTTATCAGCGTGTCCTTGATGATAAAAAGGGCCTTTATCTAAAGTAGAGTGCAGTTAGGCTGCAGCAGACGAGCTGCATGTAGTTCAGCAGAATATCGCTCTGTGTGTGTGTGTGTGTGTGTGTGTGTGTGTGTGTGTGTGTGTGTGTGTGTGTGTGACTGCAACGTAATGAAGCTGAACTGCTTGCCTACATGGACTCGGTTTGTGCTGACTTGACAGTTTTAATGCTCTTTCATGAGCTCAGACCAGCACAATGGAGGGTTATATTAGAGGGAGATGGAAGAGAAGGAAAGAGTCAGACTACACACACACACACACACACACACACACAC